GGGGGTGGGTAATTTTCCATAGAGAGAAAGAAAGAGGAGACTTACTTGGGGATGTCATTGGCAGGGGTCAGCCTTAGAAATCGGACAGTCCTTGGCGGATGTTTGCAAAAAGTTTAAAAACATATTTGGTAGACTATTTCGTACAACAGTTTTAGGTTTACAGCAGAATTGAGCAGAAGGTGCAGAAATTTCCCATGTACCTCCTGCCTCTCAGTGACACAGTCTCTCCATTATGCACTTGCCCCACCGGAGTGGGACATTTGTCCCAATCCATGAACGTGCACTGACATGTCACTATCACCCAGTGTCCAGAGTTTATATTCAGATTCCCTCTTGGTTTAGTTTTTTGTCATGGCTGTTTTTCAGAGGAAAGTGTGACAAGCACCGCTGAGGATGTTTCTTTCAGGGAAGCTGCTGCCTGCCTGCTCCTCTGTGCAATCTGTCAGAGAAGAGCATCATGTAGGGTCAGTTGACACTGACATGGAAATCTTTGAGAAGGTTTCTGTGGTTTAGTTTTTTTCTTAAATCATAGTTGTATTCCAGCCAAACTGTCACAAATAAAGCTTTTTCTATGTCATGTGTAAATATACTAGGAAATCAACTATTTAAAGGGAACGACAGATGCATGACGCGATTGTGTCTCTTTTATAAAGTGGCACCTCACTGTACAGATTTCAGGTCAGGGGAGGAACTTGTGGCAATATGTTGGTGGTGTCAGTACCTTCTGCTGTCCAGAGTCAGGGCTGAAGATCACCTGTTTGAGTGAATATAATTTACTTTTAAAAACTTCAGCATAGCTGGTGTTGAAACTGTCTATATTAAAATAACACAGACCTATAAAGTATTAGTCAAAGTCTGATTTTTATAAAACTGTAGACACAGCCAGAAGCTAACTAGCCATTGTTCCCTAACTTCCTTACTGCTGTAACTGCTTATTCCTTAATGGCCCTATCCTCCCTGATTGGTCCAAGATTTGTGACTTCCCCCACTACTTCCACAGATGACATGGCCAAGGACTTGTGCTTCTCTAGATGAAATTACTATTGTAAAACCTAAAACTGGTTTTTGAAGTATTTTTCAGACTTTGCATTCTGGGGGGACCCACTGAAGCTGATTGGGACCCATGGATATGTGTGAAAATGGGTCCAACAGCCTTGGGACCCCCTACTCCCAAAATCTCCCCACTGAGAAGATGATCTCTACTTCCCAGTCCTATGAACTCATCCCCTCCACCAATCAGCAGACTCAATTCCTCAGCATTTTGCCTGCCAAACTATCTTTAAAAATCCTTTCTCTCCAAATTCTCGAGGAGATGGATTTGAGAAATTCCTCCCATCTCTTTGCCTGGTACCTGTTCATGTATGTTGTCACAGATGTCAGGCTTTCCTTCTTTCTAAAGGCCAAATAGTATTAGATTGTGTGTGGAGGGTGCGTGATGTATACTACATTTGCTTTATCCATTCATCTGTTAATGGATTTAATCTTTTGTCCTGAGGATTAATGATAATGATGTTGAGGACCTTTTCATATACCTGTTGGCCATCTGTATATGTTTTCTTTTGAAAAATGTCTATTCAGGTCTTCCATCCTTCTTTTACTCAGGTTATTATTATCATTATTTGGCTCTGAATTATATGAGTTCCTTATATTTTGGATATTATTCTTCCATCATATATGTGATTTGTACATATTTTCCCACATTCCATGGGTTGTGTTTTTACTCTGTTGATTGCTTCCTTTGCTGTGGGGAAGCTTTTAGTTCGAGGCAACTAATTTTGCTTTTGTTGCTTGTGCTTTTTAGTGTCATATGCAAAAAATCATCTCCCACACCAATGTCAAAAACCTTCTTCTCCGTGTTTTCTTGTAACCTCAGTTTCAGGTTTTACATTTAAGTCTTTAATTCATTTTGAGTTGATTTGTATCTGGTGTGAGATACGGTCTAATTTCCTTCTTCTGTGTTGTGAATATCTAGTTTTCCCAGCACTGCTTATTGAAGAGACTGTCCTTTTCCCATTGTGTGTTCCTGTTGCCATCATTGAAAATCAGGTGATTATAGATGCCTGGATTTATTTCCAGACTTTCTATTCTGTTCCATTCATTTATATTTTCATTGTAGTTGTATAATATAAGTGCAGTATTCTGTTTTGATTACTGTAGCTTTGCAATATATCTTATAGTCAGAACGTGAAATGTCTCCAGCTTTGTTCTTCTTATTAAAGGTTGTTTGGGCTATTTGTTATCTTTTGGAATTTCATATGAATTTCAAGATTGTTTGTCTATTTCTAAGAAAAACGTCATTGAGATTTTGATAGGGGACTACATTAAATCTGTAGGTTACTTTCGATAATATTATCATTTAAACAACAGTAATTCTTACAACCCATGAGCATGGATCCCTTTCTATTTATCTGAAGGAGTTCCATTTCCTTCATCAATGGTTTATAATTTTCAGTGTCCATGTTTCTCAACAGTTTTAGTTAAATTTATTTGTATGTTTCTTTTTCTTGTCTAATTGTTCTGGCTAGGACTTCTAGGTAAAGAAGTGCTGAGAAGGAACATCCTTGTTTTGTTCCTGATCCTAGAGGAAAAGCAGTCAGCTATTTGCCATAGAATACAATATAATGTTAGCTGTGAGCATGGCCTTTATTGTGTTAAAGTTTCTTCTAAACCTATTTTGTTGAACACTTTAATCATGAATGGGTATTCAACTTTGTCCAATGCTTTTTTCTGATTTAGGGCTTCCTCCCCCATCATATGGCTTTTTTCTTTAATTTTGTTAATATGATTATCAATGCATCAGTTTGCATATATTGAGCATCCTGGCATCCAAGATATAAATCCTACTTGGTTATAGTGTATGATACTTTTAATGTGCTGTTGAATTCAGTCTGCTAGTACTTCATTGAGAATTTTTGTGTGCATGTTCATCAGGGACATTGGCCTATAGTTTTCTTTTTATGGGGTATCTTTGGTTTTGACATGAGAGTGATGCTAGCCTGCTTTGAAATATTCCCTCTTCTATTTTTTTGGAAGAGTTTAAGTAGGATTAGTATTAATTTTTTTGAATGCTTGATATAATTCACCCACAAAGTCATCTGATGCTAGGTTTTTGTTGGGACATGTCAAGTTTAAAAGAATATTGCAAGATACTACTTATAATGCCATTTATATAGGATAAAAAGAAATGAACCCCACAAAACAAATGTCTATGTCTTTCTATGCTGGTAAGTGCAGGGAAAAATCTAGAGAAGGTACAACAACAAAACAGGGACAGTGGGAGCCCAGGAGGGTGGGGAAATGGGATTGGGGCACTGCGACATTTTTTCCCTTAGTATTATTTGACTCTTTAACCATGAGAATATGTTTGCGCATTTACTAGTATAATTTAATACATTAAAATATTAAAAAATGTAAGTGACTTCAAACTCAGAGATTTTTACATAGATGATTTTCATGGGAACTGATGTGTTTTTGACATCTCCTTGGATGATTCTGAGCCCATGGCCCTGAAGAGTGAATTACTGGCTGTTGGAGACTATATATCATAGCCCATGATTCAGAATCTCCTGTGTGTTCCACATTATGGAATTCCTTCTTACAATAACAGCATGTCCTTGCTTCCACAGTAGATACACTAAAATTGGAATGACACAGAGATGAGCATAGGTTCCCAAGATGGCACATGCATTTGTAAAGCATTTCATATTTTGGTTGAGATGACAAATTTTATGTTGTGTGTATTTTGCCACAGTATAAATCCTACTTGGTTATAGTGTCTGATACTTTTAAATCATTTAACTAACACCACAGAGAGAGATTTCTATAAACTGGGGCCTTTGTCACTAATTCAAACATCATCAGTCTCTGTTTAAATCAATGTTGTTGTTTTTTTTCCTTTTGTCTTTCAAAAAAAAAGCTGTAGCTTTTCTCCCCAACGGCACTTTTAGGAGTAGAAAAGTCTCTGCCTGTCTGTGAACACCCCCTACCCTGCCCTCACCATGCCAAGTTTATGTGTCCCCCATGGAATCTCTCCCTTGCCTCTGTAATGGTGTGCACACTTCCACTCAGTCTACACCTTGTCCATTCTGAAGAGTTACCCTGCTGATCTCAGGGGGCCATCCAACTCCTTCCTCTGTATTCTTCATTCCATGTCCTTTCCTGTGGATGTCAGAAAACAGGGAGAAGGGTGTCAGGTCAAGTGAATAGGAAGCAGTTCAAAAGTTGCTGCAGAAATACTATTTTTTGTTTTAGAGACAGAGTCTTGCTTTTTTGCCCCAGGTAAAGTGATGTGGCGTCAGGCTAGCTCACAGCAACCTCAAACTCCTGGGCTCAAGTGATCCTCCTGCCTCAGCCTCCCAACTAGCTGGAACTACAGGCCCTGCTATGGCATCTACCTAGATAATTATTCTATTTTTAGTAGAGGCGGGGGTCTCACTTTTGCTCAGGCTGGTCTTGAACTCCTGGCCTCAAGCAATCCTCTCATCTTGGCCTCCCAGAATGCTAGGATTATAGACACAAACCATTGTGCCTGGCCACAAATACTGTTATTAGTGGCGCCTGTGGCTCAAAGGAGTAAGGCCCTGGGCCCCATATGCCAGAGGTGGTGGGTTCAAACCCAGCCCCTGGTCAAAACCTACAAATACTGTTTTTATTATGGGGTGATGCTCTAGACCCTGTTACATAATAAATATTTAAAAATCTCCAACATTTTGAATTCCCACACACAGCTGACCTCACGCATCTCAGAAAAGCAGCTTTTAGACGGTGGGCCTGAACAAGAAAAGTTAGTTTGTGGCACATAATAAACACAAGTGTAAACTACTATTAAGATGGCACATTTAGCCTGGCCCACTGAGGCTGTTTTGTTCATAGCCCAGAAACGTTTGTCGCGATTAAACATTCTGCACATCACCCTGCAACCAAGGGCATCACATTGCGGAAAGCCTCCCCTGTCGGCTCCTTATCTTTGTCTTGTTTTGTTTTCTCACTCCCACCCCTAGCTGGCTAAACACGGCGTCAATGTTGTGCTTATCAGCCGGACTCTAGAAAAACTACAGGCCATTGCCACAGAGATTGGTGAGTGACACCCCCCTCGATAAGGGAGATGTTTGTGGAGCCCACCTGCCCTGCCCGCCTGTTGCCAGCGTTTCCACATTTCCCAGAGCATCTACCCTCCTGTGGGAAGCCAAATTCACAAAGTGAAGGGGGGATTTAAGGTGTCGGCTTTAGCCTCCGCTGGTTCTGTGGGGTGCCTGAAGCAGGGATGGACTCAGGCACAAATAGTTTCACTTACTTCTGTGGTGTGGTGCCTTCATCCCTAGAATCAGCCTGCTCAGCTAGAGACCCCAGCTGCCTGGTTGCTTCTGCCACTCCCTTCAAAAGGAAGCAGAACATCACTTCCTGTGCTCTGCTCCTTGCAGGAGGATGAGAGACGATGCTCACTGGTGGTCCTCAGATTTTAAAAAACAATTCCATCCAGGGCTGCCATGTGTGCTTTTGAAGGTTGAACACAGTACAACCCTAAAAAGCAGGTTTTACTTCATAATGTTTTATTATGATGATTTTCCCTGAAATGTTCTTAGTTCATAGTGATTATAATATTTCTTTGGGGGCATAAGAATTTTAGTAATTATTAATTTAATAATTAGTAAACTCTTTAACTCAAAGGGATGAGTCTCCAATTTGAGGACTCAGGAAAACCATGGCAGGCTATCTGTGGTCAGCCTTGTTTCCCTGGGATAGCACTGGGACAGGAGACTGATGTGGGAGCTGTGGGGTGGTGCAGGCACACCATGGAGCTCTGTGCCCTTGAACCAATGAATTCTGCTTTTGTTCTGTGTCTAGATATTAGAAGTAACTTTGAGTAGGACTCAGATATTCTTCAGTATTTTCCTAACAGTGCTAAACCATGCTTATCATTCTTCTGAAAAGCAACTGGTGTCTTTGGACTGAAAGCATCTGCTACTCTCAAACTAGCTTCAAGATTGCTTGATCCATAAATGTTGGGTCTAACTCCAAGGCTAAAGCAAGCTCAGCAGACAGTTTACAAACTCTGCTGTAGCTTTCAGTCTGCCTGAAAATTCCTGCACAAGGCAAGTTAACACAGTATAGTGAGAAGAGTTTTGAACTTCAAGTGAGCAGAGTGTGGATGCCCTTGGTCAAGTTAATTAGCCCTGACCCTTCGTCTTCTTCTCTGGAATATGAGAATAATAATATATACTTTGCAAGGTTGTAGGAAATATCAACATAAGATACATCATGTGCAAATGCTTTATGAATGCTACCACTTTGGACAAATACAAAAGGTTGTGCATCTTTGTGGAGGGGACCTGACACATACTGAGCAGAGGCAGCATCGGACCTTATTTTTACAGCCATTAATCCAGGGTGCTCAAACTTGAGCATGGACCACAGAGTCACCTGGAAGTGTGTTAAAACAGATTGCTGGCTGGGCCTTACCTCCACTGTTTCTAATTCAGTAGGTCTAGGGGTGGGGAGCCTGAGAATTTGTATTTCTAACAAACTTCCCAGTGATGCTGATGTTATGTCTGCAGACCCCACTTTGAGAACCACTGTACCAAGTCTATTTGAATGCATATACTAGTCACTGTGGGAACTTTAAGAAACATATAGAAATCATTATTTACAAATCTCTCGGCACTTCTCAGCATTTGCTCTGGGCTGTTTGTTATTTCTAATTGAAGTGATAGGCTGTCCTCTTAAATGTCGGCTCAGGTAGTGTAAGAGCACTGGGGGAACTTCATGGATAAAGTGGGATTTGGACTTCTGTTCGTTCCCCAAAACACTGTTGTTTCTAATGCAGAGTGTACTACAGGGAGCAGTGTGAAGATTATACAAGTGGATTTTACCAAAGATGGCATCTATGAATATATTAAAGACAAACTTAAGGGCTTAGAAATTGGAATTTTAGGTAAGTATTAATAAATTGCAAAGTGCAAAGCTTATTGTAATACCTCAGTGAAATAATTATCCTAGTGACACTTGGTAATTTCATGGCAGCTTAAACTTAATCCATGACCATATTTTAAGCTGTAGCATTAAATTGAGTATTAAAGTTCAATTCTTCAAGAGTTATTACTGTATTAAAAAGTTTATATATGGCCTTGGGATGTATCAAACTTACATATTCCAACCTTTCCAACTATATTTTGTGATATTAAAGTGAATTTTATTTCATGGAACTATAGACATTTGGCAGAAGAGGGATCCCCAAAACATTGACCTACAAGAATTAGCTTAGCAAATGAATATTGCTGTGATTGATCCATGACATAGTGAGTCAGTGTAGTTATTTAAGAATTGACTTTGTTTCTTATTCAGAAAACAGGATAATATCTTTCCTTTTTATTATTATTATTTTTTTATAGAGATGAGGTCTCAATTTTTTCCTCAGCTGGATTTTGATCCCTGGGTTCAAGTAATCCTCTGCTTCAGCCTTCGTAGTAACTGGGGCTACAGGTGTGTCACAGTGCCTGGTTTAAAATTGTATTTTTTTGGTAGTGATTTATAGACAAGGTATTTTATAGTGTGGTCTTTATCATGAAGAAAGTAAGATTGGATTTCTAATCTGCTAATCTGCTTTATAAAATATTACATTTTTATAAATAAAAGTGTAAAACATATCATTGCAGAAAATTTGGAAAGAATAAAGAGGTTTGTCAAAGAAATAGGAATGTTTTAAAATCCCAGTAGTCTGAGATAGTATTTTGATGCACAGCCTTGCCTGGTACATACACAGGTATTTTCAAAACCAGGATTAAATGTCTGTTCTGTTTTGTAATACATATTTTTAAAAACTTACATCACAACATTTTCCCAGGTTTTTAAAATTCTAAGCAGGTATGCTTTTTAATGGCTGCATTCCATTCCAACGTATGACAATACTATGATAAATTTAAGATATCTCCTATTAGTGGACATTTTTCCCCTCCAGTTTCCTAACTGTTATTAAATCATGCTACAGTAAACAACCTCATATGTAAATCTTTTTGTACCTTTTTCTTTTTTTTTTGGAAAATCTTCTCACCTGTTCCTTTGACACATTTTTGTTTTGCCTCTTTCTGCCAGTTAACAATGTTGGAATGCTTCCAGACCTTTTCCCGCGCTATTTCCTTAATACACCTGATGAAATGCAGGTAAACCTGTGCCCTTCCGTGTATGGATTCCTCTCACCCAGGTACTGGGTCCTCTGGCTGGATGATCACCAGGGCCCAGGAGGGTGCGATGGGAAGCCCGTCTGGCCACAATTCTGTATTGCATGGTGTGTGTCTTGAGCTCCCACTTGCTTTTCACCTTAATTCTTGGTACACAGTCAAGTATATTAACACTTTTCATGACTATCTCCAGGATACAGACATCTTCCCCCTTCTCTGCACATCAAAACTTATCTACCACTGCCCCATCCTTTGGGGGCTGTATGCTTTGCTTTATAAAGGGGTGATTCTGCATAACAGATTTATAGCTGTGTGGCACATGGGAGAAGGCTTTCTTTGTCTTTCCATGTAATTAAATTTGTCCATCTTTCAGTGGGGAAGCAGTTTGATTCTGACCCATGGCTGTCATTGTTGGTCATGATTAATTTTTTATGCATTTTGCAGGTCTTGTAGGCACTATTGGTTGACCCTTCCCAAGTCCTCCCTGACCTGTGAAATCAAGGGTTACACCAAGCTGAGCAGGCCATCATGCTCCCATTCCCTAGGTCTGCAGATGTTCCTGTGGTCCTATTGAAGCCCTGAGTTTACTGCACTGCATGTAATGGCAGATCACGGGGACATTGCTATACACCCTTGACAGACTCCTCTCTGGACAACATATCAAAGCCTGTGGTCTCTGTTTCCTACACTCTTTGTTTCTGGCACATCTGTGTCTCTCTATTATGCAGACTCCATGATTGCTCCTCTTTCTTCGTTTATGTCTGCATTTGTGCTTGTGTCTGTGTCTGTTCCTCTTTCCTCACTGTGTTGGGTGATTCTAGTAGTTTCTTTACTGGCCTTTATAACTTAGCACCTTTACCTGTGCCTTACAACCGTTCACCTTTCTGTTCTCTATGCTATTTTGTCTAGGAGCTACATATGCTAACCTCTCTTCCTTCAGCTGGAAATTGACTATCTTCCTTTGAAAAATTATATCTATATTCCTCCCTTCATCTTCGAGGAAACTCTTAATGGACTTCTGTTCAAGATCACGCGCGTATAGAATCACAGAACGGATGTCAGATGTTTCCCAATTCTGGCGCATACTTGCTGAACATCAGTTAGGAGCCTGATTTGCAGGCTGAGTGAGTGATGGAACCGCTTAAACGTGTACTTTTGCTCACTTTGTGATTATTTAGCACTGATCACTTCTCAGGATAATTTCTCTAATGATCAGGCTGATTCTTGGTTGCGATTATTTATTACAGAGCCTCATCCATTGTAACATCACCTCGGTGGTCAAGGTATGTGATGCATATATGTGCTAAGAGCATTAAAATGTAGTAGTGGTTGGAATTTGGGAACTCAGAATTGCCCCCTGTTTTAGTCTGTGTAATAGAAGAAAGCTCACTCTGGAAAAATAACAGAGGGCATGGCTTAAATTTTCTGGACTTTTGTTGTTCAGTAAATATCTATTGAATTAAAGCTCAAGTTCGTCTGTATTCTGATCCTGGCTCAGTTACTAATAGTTGGACTGCATCGGGCAAATTACTTAACCCCTTGAGCTTCATATTCTGCATCTGATATCAACAGAGTTTGGGACTGAGTGATGTCTTAGGTGCCATTCAGGGTTTTTGATTAGGGTTGGGCACACCAAAAAGCTATCCTATACTGTGCCTTTGTGTGAATAAGACAAGGTCACCTTCTCCAGGCAGACAGTTTAGAAAAAGGTGCTATTTAAGAATGAGCACAGCCTGAGGCTGCATGATTTGGTGAATAAATGATATTTTCCTCTGAGGGGATAGAGCCCCCTACCTCAGTCTCACTCATCTGAGTAACATGGACTGGTAGTGGAGGCAGACTGATTTCCCAAAGAAAATTAGGTTACTATCAACATAAAGCAGGGAAATGGATGCTGCATAGACAACCCCCCCCCCCAAAAAAACAATTATTTTGAGGGTGGCACCTGTAGCTCAAAAGAGTAGGGCACCAGCCCCATATGCCAGAGGTGGGTTCAAACCCAGCCCCAGCCAAAAGCTGCAAAAAAAAAAAAAAAAAAACCCAAAAAACAAAAAACAATTATTTTTTGAAGTGGATAAGTTGGGCTGACAATGATAATTTTCACTATTGGTTGTTTTTTTGTAAACGTACTAGCATTTTATTGTTTCTTGCATTTTATAGTTATTGGATACACACATTCTTTTTATGCTGAGCAATCAATGGCTATTTAAAGCCCCCAGCTGATATAATTTTAAGTTTTATATGTCCAGCTCTTGTCTGCAGCCTTACGCCTAAAATCTTTCAGGTTATTTCACACATCGATCTTTGAGTCTTGGGCTGTTTGATCATGGGAGTTTCCCAAATGTATTTGACAACCCTGTGATTCCTTTAGCAAAGAAATGCTTTGATTTGTTAAAAAAAAATTATATATTGGTAGACACTAAGTTTCCTAAGTAACAAAGAAAATAAACTAAAGGTTAGCTTCTAAGTATGCCATGCCCCAATTAGCCACGCTGGTTGGAAACATGATTAATGTCACTTAATTATTTCAAAGGAGCCATCTGGAAACATTAGAGTTCTTTATCAAGGGCAGAGATGGAAGAATATGAGTGTACGGGCAAAGGGAGGTGGAATAAGAAACTAAATGTTGAGAGCTTTGAGATAGGGACCTACAAAATTCAATGTTGTCTCTCTAACTGGGATCATGCACTCAACAAGGCAAGTGAATTCATTTGGGAGACTTCAAGGAAATGCAATTGGACAGCCCTCAGATAACACCCCTAAAGAAGTTAGTCAAGAAAAGAGCTCTGACATCTGGTCTTTCATCCTTCCCTCACCTCCAGCAAAGTCAGTCAGTGAGTTCTATACAGTTCCAGTCCCCCAGAAACTCCCCCCCTCCCCCGCCAGGAACCCCCAGCAGTGAAAACAGAGGTCTCAGAGAGAGGCCCAGGGCCTGGGCTGTGAGATGCAGCAGTGCCAAGGACACAGTCTGCTACGAAGCCACTGCTGAGCCCCTAGACAACACGGAGAAATAGCCAAAACTTTCCTTCTGGCCCCAGGTCTCCTTTACCTTCTGCCCCTCTCCTTTCATTTGGATCCTCTGTCTCAAACCTGCTCTTAGACCAGGGCCTGATTCCAGTCAATGATGCTTCAGAAAACATTTCTATCTATGGGGTTGCCTTTTCTTCGTTCACAAAATGTGTGCCTTGAAATTAGGGAATGAAAACTTCTTTTAGAGGAAGATTTAGGCTCCAGAGTGGTGAGGAAGACCTTCTCAAGGTCACGGTAGGTTGAGATGGCAAAGAGGCTTCTAAACCCTGTTGTAAGCCAGGCCACGTGCTCTGTCTGCAAGCTGTTTCACAGCCCACCCACAGGCTGCATGTGCTGTGGCAGTTGAACTGGAGAGATGGCCTTCTCCATCTGTCATCTTATACATGAGATGCTCATAGATTCTTGTTAGGCTTCCTGACAGTCCTCCAGTTCTGACTCATGGCTGACCTCCTTTTGCCTGTCATCAGACTATCTGGGGAACCTTAGGGACTTCCTTTTGCATGTCACCCACAGCCAATTCCCGCCAATTTTCACTGCCCTTATTTTCCTGGAAGGCTTTAGCTTCAGGGGGAAGAAACCAGAGTCAGTTTGCCATCTGTCTGGGTTGCCTCTCGTGGGTTCCAACCAGTCACTAGGGTTGCCAGAATAACCTCCAATGAGTACTGGAATTATTATTATTTTTTTTTGAGACAGACTCTCACTCTGTCACCCTCAGTAGAGTGCGTGGTGTCACAGCTCATAGCAACCTCAAACTCCTAGTTTTAGGTGATCTTCTTGCTTTAGCCTCCCAAGTAGCTGGGACTATAGTCGCTCACCACAACCAGCTAATTTTTCTATTTTTAGTAGAGATGAGGTCTCATTCTTCCTTAGGCTGGTCTCAAAAATACTAGCAATTTTTGAGGCCATCTGAGAAGATTAAGCTTCCCTCCACCTCAGCTTCCTCTAGCACTTGTTTCCCTAAGTTCCCTGCCCATTGCCACTTAGTTCCTTCATCAGGCTTAACTTTGGCCTTCTCTTCTAGATGACACAGCTAGTTCTGACACAGATGGAATCAAGGTAAGGTTTTCCTTTGAACCTGTGTGGACCAGCACAGCCTCCATGCCCTGGCAGTCAGCCAACTCGGGGACTAGAGAGATAGGGTTCATTAGGCTGCTGCTTGGACAAATGATCAAACCTATGATGAAAGGATGTAGAGATTGCGGAGGAAAAACTAACATTCTGGGCCAGGCCAGCTCTGCAAACAGACTAGCATATTTGAAGGTCAAATGTAACAGATTATCAGAGGGAGGAAGAGAATAGCAACATCAGCACATGTTGGAGTTAAAAAACTTAACTCATGTTGAGCATAAAACACTTGAGGAGCCGGCCTGATACCAAGACCGTCTCCTTATCATTATGAGTTTCAGCTTTTGTCAGAACGAATGCTTCAATTTATTGGTAAAAATCACCATCCCATCAGTTTCTCCATTTATACCATATTTATATCACCCTATTACAAGGCCCAATTGGGAGCTCAGGTGGTATTCATTAAAAGCAAATGGGTTGATAGTTTTATCTTCCCTAGAGGGAGAGGGAGCTTGGCCTTGTATTCTAATTTGTAGACCCCTCTCCTCCAAATTGAAATCATCTAATTGGGAAGGATTAAGGATATTGAATTTCAAAGGACAAGGCCCCTGGAGACTTGTGTAGGGATATCTGTGTGAGCAGATGCTGTACTGTCAAATTCCACCCTTGACGGGATTCCACCTTAGGACATCTTTGTTGCTGTGTGGATCATCATCGTGAGTCTGAAGGGACCCGCAGCTCATGTGGTCACATTTAAGGGAGGAGAACGACTTCCCCCTTAAATCCTGTCTGAGCTGGGCTGGTTATCCATATTTTGGCAGGAAGGGCCTTGCTGAAGCAAAGCTTATGTTTTAGCAACAAGCCCTTGATTTCTCATGACTGCCAAGAGCCATTACTGTGTGGTGTCCTCCTGGAGAAGGCAGCAGAAGTTCCTTCCACTCACAGTTCTCGGAAACAGAGCGCTTAGCACACGTGGAAGCCTAGCAAGCAGGGAGTCTGACAGTGGTCCCCAGAGCCCCTTTGCTTTCTTTCTACTCAAAGCGGGATGTGCCACGCAGCAATGGAAACTTTGCTTCCTTGCCTTTTAGGCGGAGAGGTCTCATCCTCAACATTTCCTCTGGGATAGCCCTCTTTCCTTGGCCACTGTACACCTTGTACTCGGCTTCCAAGGTGAGTGATAGATAACATGTCACCCGCGTCTCTTCCTGCTTCCTCTTATTTTTTTCCAGTTGGCATTTTCCGTGGGATCATCTAGCAGGTTGATGGAGAGGTTTGTCTGCAGGCACCCTTCTATGCGCGGGGGAGCTAGTGGTCCGGGGTCCATCTGCAAATTAGAGAAAGGCGCCCCCTCTGGGCGTGTGAAGCTCTGCAGCCCACAGAGCCGGCCAGGATGCCAACCCCACCCATGCAGGCGGGCCCTCTCCCCGCAGACAAGTTTCACTGAAGCTTCCTCCCCTCCTGAAGCCCTACCTTGCTGTCCGTGAGGCTGACTCATAAACACAACCCCAGGAGAAGGGAGCTCCCTGCTAGGGAGCACCTCTCCAGCTTCCCCAGTAGGTTAGTCTGTATGCAGCGGCAATAGGGATGTATTTATCCCCAAACCTGTGTTCCTATTGAGGAAGGTTGCTCTTCCTAGACCAAAGAATGAAGTGCTGATTCTCCCCAGGACAAAGGGCTGCATTCTCCCTCTGCTTTCTTTCCTCCCCACCCCCCTGCTTTGTTAAGGCACGTGCACAAATAACAATTGTATACATTGACAGTGTACAATGTGATATTTTGACATATGTGTATATTGTGAATGGATTAAGTCAAGCAAATTAACATATCTACGACTTTACATTTTTTGTGTGTGCAGCAAGAAACACTTAAAGTCTTCTCTCTTAGTAATTATGAAGTATACAATACAGTGTTGTTAACTGTAACCACAGGCTATACAACCCCAGCACTTGTGTATTCTACATAACTGTATCTTGGTCCCCTGGGATTCATGGTCCCCCACTGTATTTTAAGGTAAAATAGTGCCTCTGGGGTGTCCCCTTGAAATCTAAGTCGGTTCTGATGAGGAAACAAACTCTGGGCCTTAGGTGTTTCTCCTTCTCACTCCAGGCTTTTATGTGCATGTTTTCCAAGGCGCTGCAAGTGGAGTATAAAGAGAAAGGAATCATCATCCAGGTGAGGAGGGCAGTTGTGTGTCCTTGGGAGCGAGCACTCTGGAGTCCCTGGAACTGGGGCCATTGCCTCCTGCAGGACAGGCCATGTTCTTATGACCAGAAGGGAGATGAGCTGGTTGGGTTCCCATGAATGTCTCTGGGGCAGCTGCAGCCACCTCAGTCCCACCTGCTGCTAAGGCTTCTGTTGCCCTCCCCAGTGGCCAGTGTTCAGAAATGCTCCAGATGCTGCATCAGAACAGAAATTGGGGTCTTGCCTTTTCTTTTCTGCCCTAGGTACAGCAGACAAGGCTTAGGTGTATTAGGGATTGTGGAAAAGAGAAAAATAAGACAAAACAAAAGTGAGCAAGTATCTATGTTGGAAAGAAGGGAAAACCTCATGCCTGGGGAGGGAGTCTTCCCTGGGAATACTTTCCCACACCCTGGTTACTGGGCAGTAGAGGAAAGGACACCTTGTTTCCCCTTCCACCTACAAGGGCAGAGCCACCATGGAGATTATCCGTCCTCACCCAAAGAGGGCTGGCTTGTCACTGCCACCTGGAGGCTGAGCACTGTGACCTTCTGAAGTATCAGTGATTTACCTGCACTTGGTTCAACAACAGAGTTAGAGTTAAGTTGTGTCTGGATTCTAGAATAAATAGAAGTATTTTTTGATTTTGTTTTAGTTATTGTTTGAGAGAAGAAGTGTTATGATATACTATTAGAAATGAAAAAGGCCCAAAGTTATAACTTCAAAATTACTGCTACGCACATGGGTTTTTAATTAAAATGCCCTGGTGGGAGTATTTGAGGTGGCTGGTACTGTAAACTAACCAGCTGCAGGATATAAAGCTTATTAAATAGGCAGATATGAGTTAATGGTAGGAATTTGGCCAATAACATCATTTTCCCAGCCTAGTAGGTGACTGTAACAGCCATGTCATGGTGCCACAGTCCCCCTGCTGAACGAGTCTCACCCATCAGAGATTTCTTCTCCCCTCCATACTGTTTTCCATTCTCTAACTCCCCACTGAAGCTCAAGTTCCCTTTTGCAACAGTGCTGCTCTGCACAGATTATTTGTTGCAGGAAAAAAAAAAGAAAATCTCAGTGGCTTAAAACAACAGAGTTCTTATTTTGAATTCACTGTACACATTTGCTGTGAGCTGCCAGGAGACACGAGTGTGTGGTAGTGATGCTGATGGACCAGCCGCCATCCTGGGTGTTGTTAACTGACAATGAAAAATGAACAGGAGCTCTAGAGGATCTTGCTTTGACAACTGAGTGCTCTGGCCCTGAAATCACATGCCACTTCTGCAAATAACTCATTGCCAGATCTGGTTACACAGTCCCACCCAGACGCAGGGATCCAGGAAGTACAAATCTATCATGTATCCAGAAGAAGAAAACTAGAAATCCTTGGTGATTTCTAAACATGCATGGTCCCCACCCTTGCTTCCTAGCCATGTGGCACTCGTAGCATTGTCCTGCTCTTGGTCAGCATGGGCCGTGGTCATTGTAGGCCATGGCTACTAAGGTGCTCTGTGAGGCAGCAGGATTGGGCAGAGAAGGGAGTGGAGGAAGGCTCCCTTCCCTAGTGCAGTGGCCTGGAGCTGCTCTCTGAACAAGTAACAGAATGTAAAAAGACTGACCTTTCAAAAACCTAGAGGCTTTTTCAAAGGCACATACAGTTGGTGCTCAATAAATATTTAGAAAATGAATGAGGAAGTGTATACTATAGATTTGGGTTTGAATTTCATCCAAGTGATCCTAATCTGCTTAAACTCTGTGAGCCTCAGTTTCCCCATCCATAAAAAGAAATTACTTCTCTGGATTATAGTGAAGATTTAATGAATAAGCATACAACTTTGAACATGATTTAAGCCTGTATTTTGTATATGAAAGTGTTTTGTCAACCATAACTTATGTAGGAATGAAAATTCTTCTTATTATTTTCCTATCTGGAAGCTGTAGTTGAGAGTGGTGCTTTTTATGTTTCTCAAAGAGTAACTGTTTGAGTAGCTCAGAAGAAAAGTGTTAGGCAAATGAACCACAGCTTTAGTTTCCATAAGAACCAATGCAAGGTGGGAGGCCAAGCCCAGGCCAGAGGATCACTTAAGCTCAGGAGTTCGAGACCAGCCTGAGCAAGAGCAAGACCTCTTCTCTACTAAAAATAGAAAAAAATAATTTAAAAAGAGAGAAAGAGAGAGAGATAAATGAGCCCCGTCCAGTGGTAGGACTATAGTCACAGCTTCTTAGGAGGCAGAGGCAGGAGCTTGAACCCAGGAGTCTGAGGTTGTCATGAGCTAGGCTGATGCCTTTGCACTGTAGCCTGGGCAATGGAGTGAGACTCTGTCCCAAAAAACAAAGCAAAACAAACAAACAAAAAAACCCTGATCCAATTGGATTAATTGACTCATAATTGAATTCAGTTATGAAGCAATGTGATTTCAAATGTGGTGTGAAGAAAAATAAAACCAAGAAAAGTAGCACAGATATTTTTTCTTTCTAAAGATGCCAAGGTCTGTGTGTCTGGGAATAAGGTTTATGCCATTAGGGGTTCTCATGACAGGCCGCAATGTGGTTAGACCACACTGGAAACTTAGTGTCAGGTTTTTAGGGGACAATGTGTGGTTGTTTATTTTTCTTACCAAAACAGAAGAAGATTGTGAGGTATGTGCCACTCTTGATTCCTAACTGAAATGAGAAAGAAAGAATCCAACATGTCTTAAGTTGCTCCAACTTCAGCTGTATATACTAGAAATAAACTTCTGAGGTAGAGCTGCTAGAGTAAATACAGGACAGCCAATGAAGCTGGAGTTTCAGATGAATATGAATAGTTTTAGTTTGAGTCCCAAGCAATACTCGGGACATAATGATGCTGAGAGTTTTTCATTGTTTGAACCTCAAATTTATGCAGATGTTCCTTTTCCCGCATTTTCACTTGCTGCGTCTGGCAACCTTGTTCTGAGAGACAGCTCATGTCCTCTCAGATGCCCTGTGAGCTGAAGAGGGCAATTGGGCTGTCTGATGGGTGGTTGGGTGGCCAAAGAAACCAAACTTTCTGATTCCCAGCTTTGTGTCAGTTCTGTGCCTTTTATCTTTTAAGATCTCAAAACTTTTAGAAAGGCAAAGAGTCAGGAAATAGTGGGATGGCTTGTCTCCTGTGCTGTGGTCTTTATTTCTCATTTTAGGTGCTGACCCCATATGCTGTTTCGACCGCAATGACGAAGCATCTAAAAACCAATTTGATAACCAAGACTGCTGATGAGTTTGTTAAAGAATCACTGAACTACATCACGATTGGAGATGAAACCTGTGGCTGCCTTGCCCATGAAATCTTGGTAATTGGCCATGTCTTTTGTTCTGGAGGCAAGGTGGGGTGCAGGCAGCCCTAGCAGGGCTTGGCCAGGTCTCCCTTGCTGTTAGGGTGCTCAGCAATTCTCTCCCAGCAGGATGGGTTAACCCTGAGCAGTAACTTGGCACTGACAAGAAGTATGTGGCTGGGGCAGAGAGGGTGGAGGGCTGGGTAATCAGCCCATGGAGAGCTCAAAGCCAGCAAGTGTCATCCTCGGCTGCCTCAGTCCTCCATTCAGAAAGGAAGGTGGCTCCCAGGAGCTCCTGGACAGGGAAGACTGACCCCTGGAGCTTCCTTGTCAGGGCTGTTGTCTTCCTTGGCCCTCAGCTGTAGTAAATGTGTAACCAGCCCTTCAAGGGAAAAAAACCAAACCAAACCATTTGCTGAGTTCCGTAGTGTAAATCTTCCCATCGTGGCTGATTTTAAGCGCCAAGCCATCGGTGCATGTGCACTGAGGAGGGAGGAGTGAGCAGGACAGGCTCTGTAGCAAGGCCAAGCCGGCTCCAGCTCCCTGCAGGCTGTACCAGACATGGAAATGAGGGTCATTGGCACGTAGTATAGGAAGTTTTCACCTTTCCTGAATTGCTTTTAAAAACAAACACAAAGGTAGGGCAGCCCATATGCCGGAGGTGGCAGGTTCAAACCCAGCCCCCGCCAAAAACCACAAACAAACAAACAAACACACAAACCAAAAAACAAACAAATAAACAAACAAACACAAAGGCTTGGCACTCGTAGCTCTGTGGTTAGGGTGCCGGCCACACATACCAGGGCTGCTAAACAACAATGACAACTGCAACAAAAAAATAGCTGGGCATCATGGAAAGCACCTGTAGTCCCAGCTACTCGGGAGGCTGAGGCAAGAGAATTGCTTAAGCCCAAGAGTTAGAGGTTGCTGTGAACTGTGACGCCATGACACTCTACCATAGTAAGACTCTGTCTCAGAAAAAAAGAAAGAAAATAAAATAAAAATTAATTAAAATAAACAAACACAAAGAGGAAATGAAGGTAGACTCGAGGGTTTCACACTCATACTGAAATGAACAGTGTCAGTGTCTGTCTTCAGCCCCCACAGAGAATTTTAAATGGATTTCCCTCAACTTACTCATAACCTGTTGACTTTCTCCTCTACCTTACAGCCTTTCTATTGTAGGAATTGGATCTCTCTCCATGCTCGTGCGCTCTCTCTCTCCTTTCTTTCTCTTCTCTCGCTCTTCCTTTCTCTCTCCTTTTCTCTCTTCTCTCTCTTTTTCTCTCTTTCCTCTCTATCTCTTTTCTCTCCCCCCTCTCTTTCACCTTTCTCTCTCTCCTCTCACTCCTCCCCTCACTCCCCCTTTCCTCTCTCTTTCATGGATGCTAGAAGGATTCATGAATCAATGCACTTTCAAAATATTCCTTTACCTCCTGGGACTTACGAAGACTCTGGCAAGACATCTAGAACTTCCTTATGTTATTACTTGCCATTTTTACTGTAGAACCTCAACAACATGCAGAATCATCAACTTAACTCACACCACAAGGTAGACATGCAGAAAGACGACAAGATCTTTATTCTGCTACTATGATATGGTCTTTCTCCAAATCACTGTTTGCTGCAGGGAAATGAATTGAATGTCTAACAAGTTTAGACTTAGTTTGATCTGGTTATCTGAGCTGTCCATTTAGGGAATGTACTCTCCGTTATGCAGAGAAAAAGGTTCAGTCTTCCTGGGGGCCTCCCTTCTTCCTGCCTCTCTCACTAAGATGGCACTGGGGAGAACAGTCCCTGCTGGTCCTTACGTGTGGGTCGGCTGTTATCCTTCATCTTTATCTACCTGGGTGGTTGCTCACCTTGCTGGAATGTCTGTGGCGTATGAGGGTGATGAACCTTTGCCCCACCTGCTGAGGGTACGGATCCACGAGTCTCTGCCACATGCCCCGTCCAGCTATGGGCCTGCAGTCTGTCTGCAGCTGTGGTCACAGAGGCTCATTGGCCTTCATCTCTGTGTCATCACCAATATGAATCAGAGGGAAAGCTGGGGAAGCCAAATCTCACTACCTAGCTCACCATGCTGAGAAATTGTTCTGTGGTTGCCCCCAGAAAAGTGGGGGCAAAACCCCCCTTTACCCTCAGGGCCACCCTTACTTATGTGTCACACTTCTCCATCCTTCATCCCCAGCCCCCAGCCTAAGCCCTGAGGACACGCTTCTGACTTCTTCTTCTTTCTCTCTGCCCTCTTCCCTCTTCCGCTTTGTCACCAGGGCAGAAAATGACAGACTCCTTGCATACTTTCTGGGTTTCACAGCCTGTCCCCGGGCTAGGTTTAGCCAGTGGGTATGAAATCTCCTCTGTCTTCTGGAGAAGGCTGTGATCTTAGTCCTCCAGGACTTGGCTTAAATGGGATCCATCGGCATCTGGAAAATGTTTTCTTAGACAGCAGCCTAGCTTATATAATCCAGTTCTAGATGTCAAAAGTTGAATAATTTTTTGACTTTTCTTTTTTGATGTCATAGATAATAAATTCTAATCTCTCCAGACAAACAGACGCCAAGAATTGACTAGAAAAAAGAGTTTTTGTGTTCAGTAAAGTGGGAGAGAAAACAAATGAAAATACATTAACTACTACAACCAATTTGGAATTTGCCTGGATTAGACAAATCATTGTATCTAAAGTGATAAGTGATCAAATAGAACCAACTGGTAAATAGGACATCCTTCCCTTATAAAGAGGTGAGGCCAAGACAGTCCCTTCTGACAGCCGGAGGACTGGGCTGGGGACTGAGGCAGGAATGGATCTCTTACCTATGGAACTCATGTCATACTTGGAGGGTTTGCATGTGTTACCTTGCTTGATCATCCTAAGGCTGTGGTGAGATAAATCTTACAATCCACCTTTTACAGTTGCGGACACTGAAACTCAGAGCTGCATAAGCTGGTAATGGCACCAAGGCTGCCCAGCTGGTAATGGTGAAGGCAGGATTTAAGTCTACTTTTATTTGGGGCTAGAGCCTTTCCAGGATGGGAGGGGAGCAATGGAAATGCAGATGAAAGATGGACCCTTTTAGAACATTTCTAAGGGGACTGGAATTTAAATTCTTTTTTTTTTTTTTTTTTGCAGTATTTTGGCTGGGGCTGGGTTTGAACCCACCACCTCTAGTATATGCGGCCAGAGCTCTATTCCTTTGAGCCATAGGCGCCGCCCTAAATTCTTTTTTTATGGCTGATTGCACTGTGCCAAAACACTTAAAGACAAAACTACAAAAAGGGCTTGATTTTGCTGTGAGACAAAAAAAAGAAGCTCTGATTAGGAAAAGAATGAAGTTCTTGAGGGAGGAGCTGTACCGATTCATTGACTCAGTTAACGGATGAAGATTTCAGCTTTGGTTCCCAGAAGCTATCTTTAGGCCTGACCTCAGAAAATCTCAGAGTATAAAGATCTGAGGATCTGAGCTGCCTAAAAAAATATGAACAGCTCTCTGAAAAGTCTAAGTTTCCCTTTAGTAGAAATTCTGTTGTTTTCTAGGGAGAAGGTTGATTGAGGAATGTTGGATTAACAGGGTCATGCTGTGGACAAAATGATTGCATCTGGGGTCCTGGCCCTGTCATACAGGACATGGGGTGATGTGAGGGCAAGAAATCTTCCAAGGCCCATACCTACAGCTTGGAATGCATTTAACTTATACTTTCCCCCCTTTTTAAAAGCAAATGTTCCATGTTAATAATTCATGCCTTTCTATGACTGCCTTTCATTCATTAACTCATTTGGATGCTCATATATTTGCTTAGCACATGATGTGTGCCTCAGGGATTATATTTGTGATTCTTTCTTGGAATCTCATTTTTTTTTTTTTTTTTTGAGACAGAGTCTCACTCTGTTGCCCAGGCTAGAGTGTAGTGGCATCAGCCTAGCTCATAGCAACCTCAAATTCCTGGGCTCAAGTGATCCTCCTGGCTCAGCCTCCCAAGTAGCTGGACTATAGATGCCCACCAAGACATCCACCTAATTTTTCTATTTGTAGTAGAGATGAGGTCTCGCTCTTGCTCAGATTGGTCTTGAACTCAAGGGATCCTCCCACCTCAGTCTCCCAGAGTGCTAGGATTATAGGTATGAGCCACTGTGCCTGGCCAATCTCATTTTAACAGGACCTTGGTGGACAGGGGACACTGGAAGTGGGACCACAGGAGGAGCAAGTATACACTGAGAAAAAGAGGAAGTCGGGCAGTTAGTTCACAGAGTTTCCCTCATTTAGAATTTCCTTAGCTCTGACTCTACCTGAGTGTCAAAGGAGTTTAAAGGGACTGGTTTGTTGTCTAAGAAAACCTCAAATACTGAGAAAGTGTCACAAGACCCATTGAACTATTTAAAAGATTTGGGGACTTCACTTTAGTAGTCAGTAAAAAATACTTTCAAAGGCCCTGAATAGGAACTGAGCTGCCTGAGCTGCAGACCTTCCCTGCTCTGCTTTCGTGCCAGACACTCTTGTTTTTTTGTCTGTTGAAGGCGTGCTTTCTGAGCCTGATCCCCTCCTGGGTCTTCTACAGCACTACCTTCCAAAGGCTGCTCCTGACCCGCTACACCGATTACCTGAAGCAGAACTCCAAGGCCAGGTAGCTGTGTTTCCTGGCCACACGTGGAATCCAATGTGGCTTTTCTTCACCAGTTCTGCGTTGTCACAGAGGACTAGAAGACAAGACCAACACCCTTCACCCTGAAACCCCAAGCTGGATGGGAACAGTGTCACAGAGACTTAGAACATACTTTCTTTTTTGCCACTTTACTTGAGTCTGGAGATTTGGGGGGAAAGCTGTCGTGTAAAACCATGTGTTGTGCCATGGGGTTTTAGGATTTGGGGTATGAGGAGATAAAGCTGTTTATGGGTAAAATTGGAAGAATTTCAATAGTGGGCTTATTACAGGCTGGAGGGTCTGATGCAGCCACACACGAAAACTGTCCCCTCCACTTCCTCCCCCTCTCCTCCTAAGACAAAGCCACAAAGGATCTGGTTAGCCCCACCCCTAACAGCCCACACAAAAGGACCCTAACCTTCTTGGCAAGCTGTAAAATTTGCCCACCCCCTATGGCCCCATATAAAAGGGTCTCTAACTGCCCTCAGATGCAGATGCCACCTCTTCACTGCCCAGGTGGGTCACCCTCCTCATTCAATAAACCTGGCCTGAATATCTCTGCCGCAGTCTTATCTTTGGGTGCCACTGCTCACACCTTTCATTATATAAATGTGGTGAGATGAAACTTCAGATTCTTGGAATATCGAGAACAATTATACCTAATAAGCTACTTTTGTTGGTGGTGGTGTTTTTGAAACAGGGTCTTACTCTGTCACCCAGGCTGGAGTGCAGTGGCATCATTATGGCTCAATGCAACCTCCTGCCTCAGCCTCCAAGTTGCTGGCCTACAGGTGTGCCTACCAGGCCTGGCTAATTATTTTATTCTTTGTAGAGATGGAGTCCTACTATTACCCATTCAGTGGGAGGGGATGCCAAACCTACTTCTGGATGGGAGGAGTATCAAATGTAATTGTAGATACTGTCATGCCCATCTTTGGAAAATACGATGTGCCCCACCAATTAATCTTGGTATAAGTGTTTGTTGTGCCATCTATCAATTATGAATTACTTGGCCTTTCAACCTAGTGCTGGAGCAAAGTATAGACATTTTGTTTGTAGAAAACTTTATATCAAAAGCCTGGTAAATTTGCCTTTGAAGAAGAACTTTCACAATCAGCAGCTTAGGTGGAAAAGGAATACACTTCACTTTATACATCCTGGCATGGATTTTAGAGACAATTTTTAATTGTAAGATATTGGTGTTTTTCTAATGTATTACTCCTCAACCGATTTGCATGGTTGTCCAATAAGCTTCTTCAGGGTCTTTAAAGTAAGAGAGAATTTCTTCAGAGGAGAGGCTCCAAGATGTCAGTGGGACTGGGTTATGAAATGAGGGCAGAGCAGCTTTGTGTTTGAAGATCTCTATCCCAGTTACCACCAGTATTATATAATAGGACACTAATCATAGGGATGATGTAAGGCCTCGTAACGACTTGAGAATTAGGTACTAGCTTTGTAGATGAAGAAACTGAGGCACAGAAGAGTTGACTAGTGTGTAGTGAGTGGCAGTGCTGGGGTTTGAACCTGCATAATCTCTTTCCTGCATCCCTAGGCTAAAACACAACAGTAGAGCCCTACAGAGGGGACTAAGTGTATATAATTGAAATCAATGTCAAAGGGTGAACATTATACTCTGTATTTTCCGCTTTCACACATCATGCAGACAAGGAGAAGAATCAGGTTTCTGCAGCCAGGCCTACATGTCTGGATTTCAACGCTGACCATTTTCCAAATTCACCATCCTCTGGGAATCATTCAGGAACAGGGAGGCCTGCCAAGTCTCACTGACCTTTTGTTTCCGAGAAGCAGCACTGGACCCTTGCTTCTCGCCTAATTCTCTTATCTTTGGAGGTCTGGGGAGCCCAGGGATAGACCAGCATCAGAAGCTGGCTGTTTGCATAGACTTGTTCCCTGTGAGTTCTTCCAGCCTCCCATCTGTGCTGCCTCCTAGGATGCCAAAGGCCGAAGAGGCCCTAGGACAACCCTGGGAGCCAGGAAATGAGGTGATTATGGGCTGCTGCTCCGTGAAGCGTCAGCAGCTGTTTCTAGGGCGGTTCCCTGGGGTTTCATTCTTGCCTTGCTCTATGGACAAGAACCAGAGTGCCCCACTTCAAAGACTCGTTAAGCCAGTGCTTTCCAGAGAAAGCCGAAGATGGTCATCTTGGAGCCAGCATGCTTTTAATCAGATTGGTCCACGTCTGATGCCAGAAAGAGCTGATGGCCCTCCCTGTGGTTTATCCACCGTGCTCGGGACTCAGCTGACTCACTACTGCCCTCTCATGGCCTGAGAGAAACTGTTGGGTCTTTCCCACCTAATGCCGCAGAAATTTTAGAACAGAAGACAATTTAGGTGAAGAAATGCCTCAATTTTTTGAGCTGCCTGTGTGTGCGTGTGTGTGTGTGTGCGCGTGTGTGTGCGTGTGTGTGCGCGTGTGCGTGTGTGTGTGTGTGTGTGTGTGAACGTGCGCGGTCACGCGTAGGGGTTGAGGCTACAGAAGCAAAGGAGCCGTTTCTGTTTCACAGGCTCTGACAAGATAACTGACAACCGGCCCCGTCAGCTGGCTGCTTTGGGTTCTCGTTACCTATCTCATCAGTAAAATTAGAAGGTTTTACTACATGATCTAGCTTTTTCTATTCAGCTCTTTTAGTCTGTAAATCTCAAGTAAGTTGTGGAAATGAACTGTCTGTTTTTAATCTTTAATCGTTTTCCTGATTACATACACAGTGTAGGTAATATAAAAACTGGAGAAAAAAGAGAAGAAAACATAAGTTACCAGTTATTGTCCTACTTCTCAGAGTTAGCCGTTCTTCATTGATTTCTTTTCTAATTTTCCCCTTGGTTATTTATTTAGTTTAGGGGTTTTTTTTGTTTGTTTGTTTTTTGTTTTTGTTTTTGTTTTTTTTTTTTTGAGACAGAGTTTTACTTTGTTGCCCTTGGTAGGTTGCCCATGGCATCACAACTCACAGCAACCTCAAACTCTTGGGCTCAAGCCATTCCCTTGCCTCAGCCTCCCAAGTAGCTGGGACTAAGGGCACCTACCACAATGCCTGTTTTTTTTTTTTTTCTTTAGAGACAAAGTCTTATTTTGTCACCCTCAATAGAGTGCTGTGGCATCACGGCTCACAGCAACTTCCAGCTCTTGGGCTTAGGCGATTCTCTTGCCTCAGCCTCCTAAGTAGCTGGGACTGCAGGTGCCTGCCACAATGCCCAGCTATTTTTTTGTTGCAGTTT